TAACAGATGCCTACTGATGGGAGAAAATTGTTGCAAAAATATAAATAACAAAGGGTTGACCCTAAACATATAAAGATTTCAGGAGAGAAGACACCACAGACCACGTGTGAGCACCAGCACCTGGGCCTGCATCCCAGCAAGTAACAGGGGCTCAGGGTCACCAGCTCTGGCCCTAATAAGGGACCTGCTCATCGTGTGTCATGACCCCACGTCCCAGGACCCACCCCGGCTCCTCTGCCCAGACCCAGCCAGAGCTGCTATATAGCAGGACACATGCAATAGGGCGTCCCCTGCTGCTGAAAACCAGCCCGGCCCACCCTGCAGCCCGCACAGGAGCCCAGCCCACACCCAGGGTCCACTCGGGTCACCACAGACGCGGACACTCACCATGGAGCGTGGGCTGAGCAGGCTGCTCCTCGTGGCTCTTCTAGGGGGTGATTGCTGGGGGCAGGATCCCTGAGGAGGGGGCACAAGAGGGGGAAGCAGTGGGTGAGAGCCATGTCCTGACGGGCTGTGTCTGTGTTTGCAGGTGTCCAGGCTGAGGAGAAGCTGATGGAGTCTTGGGGAGACTTGGTGCCGCCTGGGGGGTCCCTCAAGACTCTCCTGTGCAGCCTCAGGATTCACCTTCAGCAGCTAGCACATGCACTGGGTCCGCCAGGCTCCAGGGAAGGGGCTGGAGTGGGTTGGAATCATTTATACTGGTGGCAGCACAAACTACGCAGACTCCGTGAAGGGCCGATTCACCGTCTCCAGAGACAACGCCAAGAACTCGCTGTATCTGCAAATGAGCAGCCTGAGGCCCGAGGACACGGCCGTGTATTTCTGTGCGAGACACACAGTGAGGGGAGCGGGTGTGAGCCCAGACACAAACTCTGAAGGATGGGAGGACGGGGCTGGAGCTCCACTGGGGCGTGTCAGGACCCCAGGGGCCCAGGGACACCAGGAGGCTCAGAGCTAAGAGCACAGCCTGGGAGCAGGTGCAGGGGTTGGGGGCAGGGGCTTCCTGTCTGGGGCTCCCCTGCAAGACTCCAGCTCCCCAGGGCACCATTGCTCTCCTCTGAGAGGTTCCCGCTCCCCATATACCTGGGGAGCCCCAAGGGGGAGGTGACTCTGTCTGTGCACAGGTGAGACCCCCCAGGGACGAGACCCTCACCTGTCCAGGTGTCTGTTACTTACTATGACTGGGGAGACACGGGGAGGGGCGGGTGTGGCCCAGACACAGACCCTGCAGGACAGGAGGGGGCAGCACCCAGGCCCACCACCAGGGGGCGCTCCGAGCTCACAGCCCTGGACTCAGCTCATGGCTGTGGGGGGACATGGACAGGGACGGGACCTCCAGCCTGGACCTGCCCTCCAGGCCAACCCCTGCCCTCTCCTGGTGGGTGTCCATCCCTCTGTCCTCCTCGGGTCCAGCCCTGGGTCACTCCCCCTGTGCCTCTCCTGAATAACGTCTGTGCCTCTGAAATGTGTCAGAACAACTGATTCGCTGTTCTGGTCCCGAGACCCAGTGGGATCAGATCACTGTGGTGTCCACACCCCTGTCACCAGGTCCCAGGGCCTCCAGGAAGGCTGGTGGGGACTCCTGACCAAGTGCCCTGGATCCAGGCCCTGGGTGCTGACCCTGACCGCGTGTGGTGACGTCTAGTGGCAGCTGGCTGGGACGGGGGTCTGAGGACTCTGCATGTGTCTCTGTCTTGGCCGGACCTGACTCCTTGTCTGAAAGGCCCCCGGTCAACACTGGGGGTCCCGGGTCTCCTGGCCTGACCTCTGGTGTCTGTGACGGGGGCACCCGCCACGAGAGCTCTCGGGTGGACCCTTCTCTGCAGAGTCTCCCGGGTTCCCAGGACTGTTGCTGCTCAGTGTCTTGTGTGTTTCTCGCTGAACCTCACGAAACTTTGCTCCTGTCCCGTGAAGAAGGACACTGTGTTTCAGGAACGGGGGACAGTGCAGACTTTGGGGTCCTGTGCCCACGGACGCTGTTCCCTCTTCCATGCTGACTCTGGGTGTTCCCAGCTCTGTGTCTCCCGGGGAGGCCTTTATTTTCTCTTTCTCTCAGGAGGGTTTGGCCTCTTCCAAGCCTCCTCTGCCCCTGTGAAGTGACAATTGTCTTTCTGTGTCCTGTCAAGGGGCCACTGTGCCCTCACAGAGACTGCAGTGGTCCCCGGAGCACATGGGATTGTTTTCTATGACCAACCTCAGCGCCTGAGAGACGCCAGCAACCGCCTCTGACAGCAGCAGCACAAGTGATAGTAACAGATGGAATAAAACTGACCATGTGGAGTGATGCCACACTCAAGGGTGGAAGGACTGAAGGATGTGACCACGGGATGCATTCCCGGGGGAATGATTTAATGCTCAGAGAAGGACACCCGCAGCTTCTCCTCTGGGATGGAGACAGACTCACTCCAGAGCCCCGTGGATAGACCAGGCCCAGGTCAGCACACCCTGATGGACGAGGTGGGAGCCTGGCCCTGCCCCGCTCAGCCTCTGCACAGCTCCGGGAGGAGGACCCCAGGGGCTGAGGACAGAGCAGGCCACGAGGACCAGGGACAGAGACAAGCCCAGGACAGACCCACGGACACGCCGTCAGCTGTCGGGAGCTGCTGCCCTGCAGGGAGCTGGAGTGGTTGGAGCCCCTGTTGACTCTGCACAGGGAGTCCAGGACAGCAGAGGTTCTGCAAACAGAACTTCTTCCCAGAACCGACTCCTGCCCCCTGAGGACGTGCTGCTCCTGCGCATGTCCCCGCTCAGCAGGGCAACTTGTCCTCAGCAGAAACGTGCTCATCTGTGTCAGCAAAGACACAATCGTGCGCCATGTTCTTCCCTTTGGTCCTGTCCTCCATAAAAGCCTGGGCTGGGAGAGTGCGGGGCAGAGCTGCTCTCGATGCGCCCCCCAGCCGCCCCCCACTGCAGATTCACTTACACCCCGAGTCTCCGCTCATGGCAGGGAACTCCATGGGCCGTCCCGTCCGCGGCCTCCAGCTTATGCTTCTCAGGAACAACCACAACACAATGGACCACGGGCTGAGATTGGACAGAAAGGGGACGGGACACCTGGATTTGCCCCTGAGGAGAAGCTCATCCTGGCAGGACGACAGCCTCTCCAGGTACATACAATGGGATGGTCCCACATGTTACACGATTTTTGGACTTTACCTTCATAGTTAATATCCAGTAGGTGCTACTGTCACCAGAGGAGGCAAATTGATATAATTTTGATCCTCATGACTTCATACTCTGGTTTTATAGTAACTAAGACAGAAAATTATGTTTATGTCTCTGAGTCTGCTCAGTGCTTGTAGGAATAAATCTCTACAAACGTGTCCTTTACACCCTGCCGGGCCCGAGGGCCAAGCAACCCCCACCTCGGGCCCCGGGACGCCTCTCCCCACCCCAGCCCTGGCCTCAGTTCTGCTCTCAGAGGTCAAGAGTTTGTTGTCGGTGGGTTCAGACTCTGTGTTGTGTTTCCTGTGTCCACACGAGAGTCAGACCATCCTGAGCGTGTCTTGCTCCTTCTGACTTTCTTCACTCAGCGCCGTCCTGTCCTGTTCCTTCCGTGTGATTCCAAGTGAAATTTCATGCATTCCACAACTGAGCACAAGCCACTGTGTAAATCTCTCGTTTTCTGAACCATCCTCTGTCCCCACAGGAAGACGGTTTCCACAAGGAGCCTGTGTAGACACGCCGCGGTCAGTGCAGGAGAAAGAAAAGTCACCCCACACCCTGACATCGGCTGCTGTGATATGGGTGGGCCCAGATCCAATGGGAAGAGAAGAAAATAAATGTACACAAATGGCTTCCGTCCAATAAAAGATTCTTCTCAATGAAGAAAATATCAGTAAAACTAAGAGGCTGCTCACAGGCGGGAGAAAATGTTGGCAAATGACACAACTGAAAAAGGAGTGAGTGATACTAAGACATATAAAGACCCCACAGAGCACGTGTGAGCACCAGCCCATGGGCCTGCGTCCCAGCAAGTAACAGGGGCTCAGGGTCACCAGCTCTGGCCCCTAACAAGGGACCTGCTCATCGTGCGTCATGACCCCACGTCCCAGGACCCTCCCCGGCTCCTCTGCCCAGACCCAGCCAGAGCTGCTATATAGCAGGACACATGCAAATAGGGCGTCCCCTGCTGCTGAAAACCAGCCCGGCCCGCCCTGCAGCCCGCACAGGAGCCCAGCCCGCACCCAGGGTCCACTCGGGTCAGCACGGACGCGGACACTCGCCATGGAGCGTGGGCTGAGCTGGCTGCTGCTCGTGGGGCTTCTAGGGGGTGATTCCTGGGGGCAGGATCCCTGAGGGGGGGGCAGGAGGGGAAGCAGTGGGCGAGAGCCATGTCCTGACGGGCTGTGTCTGTGTTTGCAGGTGTCCAGGGTGAGGCGCAGCTGGTGGAGTCTGGGGGAGACTTGGTGCCGCCTGGGGGGTCTCTCAGACTCTCCTGTGCAGCCTCCGGATTCACCTTCAGTAGTTATGGCATGCACTGGGTCCGCCAGGCTCCGGGGAAGGGGCTACAGTGGGTTGCAACCATTAATAGTAATGGTGGTAGCACATGGTACGCAGACTCCGTGAAGGGCCGATTCACCGTCTCCAGAGACAACGCCAAGAACTCGCTGTATCTGCAAATGAGCAGCCTGAGGCCCGAGGACACGGCCGTGTATTTCTGTGCAGGAGACACAGTGAGGGGAGCGGGTGTGAGCCCAGACACAAACCCTGCAGGACGGGGGGCGGGGCTGGGGGTCCACTGGGGCGTGTCAGGACCCCAGGGGCCCAGGGACACCGGCAGACCCAGGAGGCTCAGAGCTCAGAGCACACCCTGGAGCAGGTGCAGGGGTGGGGGGCAGGGGCTTCCTGTCTGGGGCTCCCTCTGCAAGACCCCAGCTCCCCAGGGCACCACTGCTCTCCTCTGAGAGGCTCCCGCTCCCCACATTCCTGGGGAGCCCCAAGGAGGAGGTGACTCTGTCTGTGCACAGGTGAGACCTCCCCAGGGACGAGACCCTCACCTGTTCTCACACAGGGGATGCTCCAGAGTCTGCAGATGGCGGGGTCTCAGGGGTGAACCCCGGGTCCCTGAGAAGCTGCTGCGTCACTGACACGGTCTGTCCCTTGCAGACATGGACCTCACAGGCTCGAGTGCTGTGCGTCCAAAAGACAACCCAAAAGCCAGGGGAAGAAATAGTCAAAACTTAGCCGACGTAATGAAGCACAAACAAAAACAGCTATGAATACTCCACACACCCCAACGCTGGCTCTTTGAACAAACAAACACGATGAACAAACTCCACCCGGCTCCCCCCAAGAGGAAGAAAACGCTGACACGCGGACCCTCAGGGAGGAGGAGAAGCTCGACCAGGCGCAGCCGTGGGCAGAGGACCCCGGGACTCCCTCGAAGACCTGAGCAGACGGCGCGGCCCGAGGGCAGACTCGCTCTCAGCCCCTCAGGAGCAGCAGTGGTGACAAAGAGGCGCAGAGACTTGCACAAGGCAGCCGTGGGCGGGACCCGAAGCGCTGTCGTGACACCCTGGCCCAGAGCCGGGCCAGAGATTTAATGCATAGCCAAGAATACATACAGGCCTCTCCCGGGGGATGTGGCCCACCTGATTCCAGGCCCTCCATGGACCCTGGATTTGCACGCGTTACAGAAGATCGTGTGGGCACCAGCAAGGGCCACTGACTCCATCCAAATGCATCAGAGACACAAAGGCCAAAGGCAAAGGGGTAACCCTGACAGGTCACGGGATCCAGACCACCATCCCCGGAGGAGACAGAGCCCGGGACGGCACAGGTGGGTGTCCTGGAGGGCGAGCTAAGAGGCGACGGGAACCTGGTCACCTAGTCTCCGCCGTCCACCCGCCCTGGGAGAGTCGGACGTGAACCCTGTGGCCAGCTCCCCGCATGTCGCTAGCCCCTGCCTGCGAGTGTCCCCCTAGACGGACTGTCCCGGCCGCTCGGCCCATCGCCAGGACGGGAAGGGGCTGGAGCCACGCGGGCCTCTCTGCTCAGGGTCAGCTCCGGGTGTAAAGTGACCCCCATGCACACAGGCTCCCGAGCACCCTGCAGGGCCCTGTCCCCCGCCACAGCACCAGCCCCCGGGCAGCGAGGTGCAGGGTCAGGGTCTGCTCCTGGGCCCTCGCATGGTCCGCACGGAGCAGGCGCTGTGCTGGGCTTTGGCCCCCCGTGTCCAAACGGGCACGTGGGCCTCCGTCCCAGGAGCCACAGCTTCTTGCCGCCCGTCCTCGTGTCATCGCAGAGGGCGACGCGCTCACTGCTGTCCACTGTCCCCCATGTCCTCGCCTCTGCCCGGCCAGGCATCCAGTACCGCACGAGAGTGGGAGGTGCGCCCGGGGGTGTCCACGCAGATGGATGGGCCCAGCTGCCCCCACGGGACCTGGGCTGGCGTGTCGGGGTCGTCCCAGACGCTGCTCCTGCGCACGAGCTCAGGGCTCCTCCCGGCGGCGACAACTTTGCCCTCCGCTTGGCATCCATGGCCAGGGTCCCGGCTTCTGATGTTCTCGGTTGCCATGGTGACGGGCGGGGCTGGTTCCCGGACTCGGAGCCGCCAGGGTCCCTGCACAAAGGCTCTGGGTGGGGCGTGACCCCCACATCCGTGTGGGGTTCGGGCATCTGCGACTCCAGGGGTTCCCACCGCGCTCCCCGCGATCTGGTCTGCGGCCTCTTCTCTGGGCTGTGTGTCTGGGTTGGGGGTGAGTGTGACGGGGACTCACCCACGAATTCGGGGGGCTCCTTCACTCTTGACTGGAAGAGTTTCCCGAGACGGCGGGAGCTCCCTGGGGCCTGGTGGAGTCGCTGGAAGCCTCCGGCCCGGCTCTGGGCCAGGGTGTCCCGACAGCGCTTCGGGTCCCGCCCGCGGCTGCCGTGTGCGCGTCTCTGCGCCTCTTTGTCGGCCGCGGCTGCTCGTGAGGGGCTGAGAGCGAGTCCGCCCTCGGGCCACGCCATCTGCTCAGGACCGTCGAGGGAGTCCCGGGGTCCTCTGCCGGCGGCTGCGCCTGGTCGAGCTTCTCCTCCTCCCTGAGGGTCCGCGTGTCAGCGTTTTCTCCCTCTCGGGGGGAGCCGGGTGGAGTTTGTTCATCGTGTTTGTTTTCAAAGAGCCAGCGTTGGGGTGTGTGGAGTATTCACAGCTGCTTTTCTTTCTGCCTCATTATGTCGGCTAAGTTTTGATTATTTCTTCCCTGGCTGTTGGGTTGTCTTGTTGGACGCACAGCACTCGAGCCTGTGGGGTCCATGTCTGCAAGGGACAGACTGTGTCAGTGACACAGCAGCTTCTCAGGGACCCGGGGTTCACCCCTGAGACCCCGCCATCTGCAGACTCTGGAGCATCCCCTGTGTGAGAACAGGTGAGGGTTTCATCCCTGGGGGGTCTCACCTGTGCACAGAGTCACCTCCTCCTTGGGGCTCACCAGGATTGTGGGGAACAGGAGCCTCTCAGAGGAGAGCAATGGTGCCCTGGGGAGCTGAGGTCTTGCAGAGGGAGCCCCAGACAGGAAGCCCCTGCCCCCTACCCCTGCACCTGCTCCCAGGCTGTGCTCTTAGCTCTGAGCCTCCTGGTGTCCCTGGGCCCCTGGGGTCCTGACACGCCCCAGGGGGCCCCCAGCCCCGCCCCCCGTCCTGCAGGGTTTGTGTCTGGGCTCACACCCGCTCCCCTCACTGTGTGTCTCGCACAGAAATACACGGCCGTGTCCTCGGGCCTCAGGCTGCTCATTTGCAGATACAGCGAGTTCTTGGCGTTGTCTCTGGAGACGGTGAATCGGCCCTTCACGGAGTCTGCGTAGTATGTGCCACCACTATAAGGATACATTTCTGCAACCCACTCAAACCCCTTCCCTGGAGCCTGGCGGACCCAGTTCATGAATAGCTGTTGATGGTGAATCCGGAGGCTGCACAGGAGAGTCTGAGGGAACCCCCAGGTGGCACCAAGTCTCCCCCAGACTCCACCAGCTGCGCCTCACCCTGGACACCTGCAAACACAGACACAGCCCGTCAGGACATGGCTCTCGCCCACTGCTTCCCCTCCTGCAGCCCCGCTCCCAGGAATAATGTCCGATTATTTATTTGGCTCTTTCATGTTCATGCGAGGTTCTGACCCTGTCAAATTCCCCTGTGCTCGGTGCTGGTGGGTCCACAGGATCCTCTGATCATGACTCCAGGTCCTCAGTCTCTGGGTAGAATATAATTTACTCTTCTTGTCACTAACCCAGTAGCCGGTCAGTGGAGCTGGGATGGTCCCACATGTTACAGGATTTTGGACTTTACCTTCATAGTTAATTTCCAGTAGCTGCTACTGTCACCAGAGGAGGAGGTGACTCTGTCTGTGCACAGATGAGACCCCCCAGGGACGAGACCCTCACCTGTCCAGGTGTCTGTTACTTACTATTACTGGGGGGAGGCGGGGAGCGCGGGTGTGGCCCAGACACAGACACCCCAGGACAGGAGGGGGCAGCACCCAGGCCCACCACCAGGGGGCGCTCCGAGCTCACAGCCCTGGACTCAGCTCATAGCTATGGGGGGGGACATGGACAGGGACGGGACCTCCAGCCTGGACCTGCCCTCCAGGCCGACCCCTGCCCTCTCCTAGTGTGTGTCCATCCCTGTGTCCTCCTCGGGTCCAGCCTGGGGTCACTCCCCCCAGTGTAATCTCTTGAATAACGTCTGTGCCTTTGAAATGTGTCAGAACAACTGATTTGCTGTTCTGGTTCCGACACCCAGTTGGATCGGATCACCATGCAGTCCACACCCCTGTCACAGAAGCCAGGGTCCCCCAGGAAGGCCGGTGGGGACTCCTGACTGATGGTCCTGATCCAGACCCTGGGAGCTGAGCTGTGGCCACATGTGGGGACGTGCCCTGGCAGCTGGGGAGACGGGGGTCTGAGGACTCTGCATGTGTCTCTGTCCTGGCCGGACCCGACTGCCTGTCTGAAAGGCCCCTGGTCAGCACTGGGGTCCCGGGTCTCCTGGCCTGACCTCTGGTGTCTGTGACGGGGGCACCCGCCACGAGAGCTCTCGGGCGGACCCTTCTCTGCTGAGTCTCCCGGGTTCCCAGGACTGTTGCTGCTCAGTGTCTTGTGTGTTTCTCGCTGAACCTCATTGAAATGGGGCCTTTCTGTGACACAGGCCGTGTGTTTCCAGGGACGCGGCGGGTCTGTGGCTGTTCGGGGCCGTGGCCTCCGCCCAGAGCTCGCTCCCGGTGGGAGTCAGGAGGTGTCCAGCTCTCGTCTCCTCTGCGTGACGCGTCACGTCTCCGCCTTTCTCTCAAGGCTGTTTCTCTCTCCAAGGCCTTGGGGATCCGTGTAAACGTGATAACTGTGTTTCTCTTTCCCGCACCCGCTCATCTGCATTTGTGGGTCTTGCCTCACGTCCACGCGTGGCTCTGGGGACAGGCCCTGGTGGACGGCACCCTCCCCCAGGCGCGCAGGGTCCTCCCTCTTCCGGGGCCTCTTTCATGTCCACGGACCGAGCCCCACATCGTCCCCGGACCGTCCTCCTCCCTCTGACGTCATCCAGGACCCGTCTGTGAGGGCGTGACCGGGACTGGCCCCAGGCCCTTCTCCTGCCGTGGTGACGCCAGAGTCACCCCTGAGAGTTTGTTGGATCCTCTGCTGCCCCGACGGGCCCATTTGTTATCTTGAGACAGTTACGTTCCTGGAGTCTCTGGTGTCCCTCAGTGTCCTCGGGTCCTCTTCAGACGGGGAGAGGCACGTGTCCTCTTCCTCTGGGTCGTGCTGGGCTTCTCCCTCCCTGACCGCCTCGGCTGGACGTCGGGCGGGGACGAGCAACATTGGGGGCCGTGGCTCCTTCCTGCTCCGGGCCATGGTGGGATCGTGTCAGCGTCTCACCCGAGTGTCCTGTGGGCTGATGGGTGGACACGCGGTGTCCATCGTGTTTCCCTACATTGCATTTGTCTGCATTTTGTGGGATCTCCCGCCCTAATACTTCATCGTGTGTTCCCTGATCAAGATGCTCGTCTCTGGGCCCATCTCTGCGCCTCGTGCTCGAAACGGGTCCCCCCGGAGACTCTCCACACTCGGAACCGCAGGGCCTGAGGAGACGCCCCTTGTCAGCACACACTGAGGGACCGGGCTGGACCTGGCCCTGCCCCGCTCAGCCTCTGCACAGCTCCGGGAGGAGGACCCCAGGGGCTGCGGACAGAGCAGGCCACGAGGACCAAGGGACACAGAGGAAGTCCAGGACAGACCCACGCACACGCCTCCACTTATGTTTTTAATGTGTGACACAAGAGGATGCGTCACGGTCACCTCACGGAAAGGTGATAGGGTCACTGGGTTTGTGCCCGCAGCCAAGCTCCTAGGGCTGACCAGCGTCTGTCACACTCAATCACAATGGATCACGGACACGAATGTAAAGCGTAGAGGAAGGAACACGGACAGCGAAAGGGGAAGAAAACTGATCTCCTTGGTGTGGACAGGACCTTGGTGTGGGCAACACAAAGGCCCAGTTCAAGGTGCTTGTTTTCCGGACGAGTTAGATGGAAACCGCGAATGCTGCAAAAGCAGAGGCATGAAACGAGAACACTAGGCACAGATGCAGGGGTGATGCCCGCGTGGGATGCAGGTGAGCCATGTCCGTCATGAAGCACGAAGCAAACGAACACTCACAACAAAAAAGCAGCCATTGGGACTGAAAATGCCCCAAGTGCCTCAACCCTCTCCCCCCACAGACACGCGGGGTCTGGAGCCTGCACGTCACGGCCCTGACGCGGCTTCTCCCCGTCTCCGTGGGCCTGTCGGGGTCTCCGTGTCCCTCCCCACGTCTGCTGCCCACAGGGGCAGCGTCACCCTCGCTTCTCACACGAGAATACTTCCCGTCTCCCCGCAGGACGCTGAGCCATGTGGGGTCCGCTGATGTCCCTGCCGGGGCCTGGCCTTGGGGAGAAGCCTCAGTCTCCCCCCTTGAGGTGCTGCTGTGTGGGCTGGGCACACGGTCTCCCTCCTGTGGGGGCGTCACCTCCGCGCGTCTCCCTGGGAGACGTGACCATGAACGGGGTGAGTCTCGTCAGCTGCCTTCTCTGCAGCGGCTGATCTGGGCCGTGATTTCATCTCTATCTGCTGAGATGGAGAATGACCTGGACGGACCGTCCACGTCCATCCCTCCCGTGGCCTGGAGTGAACACCCCTGGGTGCTGTGGAGGCTCCTCGGCACCTGCTGTTCACTCCACTGCTGAGGCTTTTTCCTCTGTGCTTCTCAGGACGCGGGTCTGCAGTGTCTCTTCTGGGTGTGACGACCTCGTCTGCGCTCAGTGTCAGAACCGTGTTGGCGTCATACATGTACTTGGCGGCACGATCCCTTCCGTGGCTTCTGGAGAGACAGAGATGCCCGGGGATGAGTTGTCCTGGGAGGTTCGGTGGACTTACTGGGAAGACCAGCGGGTTCCGTGGTTTCCTTTTTGTTTTGAGCTTTTTTTTTAA